AAGAAGAAAGAAGAAGAAAAGAGGAGAGAGAGAGAGAGAGAGGACGTGAGCATAAGGGGGGGAGGGGACGTGCATGGGGCAGAAGGGGGGGAAGGGACGCGCGGCAGAGGAGAGAGAGAGAGAGAGCGGGGGAGGGAAAAGTCAACCCCTCTCGAGTGTGATCTAACGGCCCACGTTCAAACCTGAAATCGATCCGACGATCCACGAAAAATCCTAATTATAAATTAGGAAAAAGGGCCAAAAGACACTAAATAAAATACACTACGATTGAGGTCTACTAGTCCAAATCCGCACCCGGTCCAAATTTCACTTTTCGATAATTCCAGGCAATATCGATACTGGCCATAATAATATCGACACCGTCCAATTAAATTTGTCACGAAACTCCGAGAAATTCGACACCAAAGTTCGGGCTCTAAATAACGGCCAAATTCGATCGAATGCGATTTTAGCGAAATCTCAAATTTAAAATAACCCGAGAGTGATCAGTTCTGAGCGAGATTTAACTATAAGCGCACTGACGAAATACACATTTTATAAATCCCAGAAATGGGTCGGAATTCGGAATGTCACATAAACCAATGATTGATGGTAAACTAAGTTGATTAATGTCGGGCAATTTTCATTTTTGCTGTTGAAATTTCTTCTGTTTCGTTGTGTGCCTCTTTCGTGGTGAGCTTGTTTTTTTGTACTTTTGTTTTGTGGTAGTCTTGTTTCGGAAGAGTCGCGTTGCTTTTGCTGGTGTGGGTGTTGCGGCTTTGCTATTGGTAGATTCAGTCATATATTCTCGATCTTGGACCTTGAGACACTACGTGCCATCGAACCCTTTTGTTTAAGTTGAGCGTTCGAGCTAAAGATTTGGTGATTTGGGGACTTAGCCACTCGACCAAGCAAAGACAATTTATATCAACAACAACAACATCGTCTCATCTAACCTCAGTTCATGTCATATTATTATTGCCGTTATATGTAAGACGATCATATGTGATTGGACAACCACGTCAGATGAATCTAGCGAAACTTGATCGAAAGGACTTGATTACAATTTTATATCCACTTGCTCAATCTAGATGTTACCAAATATGTATTTTCTATTGAAAAAAATTGACTAGCTGGTAATTCAAGTTCTCGTGTCATAACGGGGTTTTGCTATTGCGTCATTAGAAAACACCATACTTTGTTACTTATGATATAAACCTATGTATATTATGTTTGTGTCAATTCATGTCACTTTTGGATTTGCCATATGATCATATGTATAAACGTGTTAAATCGTATAGGAAGTTGCCAACTCTTTCAATCCTCATTTTTTCTATATAATTGTACTAGTTATAAGGGGTGTGCAAGGTTGTTTTTGGGTACTTTGAAACTGAGCGGATGAATGAATTTCGTGGTAAACACAAATAGCAATACATAAGTGATGAAAAAGATAAATGCTAACCTCTTATTAATGTAACAGAAATGTTTGTCACGTCACAAGGTAGATCATACACGTCTCAGTATACAATTATACTGATCGAGGGTGGTGGCGAAGGTCCAGCCCTTGTCAGATCCGGCGAGGGCAGCACTTGCCCAAGCCGCGAGCCACCCTCGCCGGATCTGGCAAGGGCGGCGGCGAGGGCCGCAACACCTTCATCAGGGACCTGGCCATGGGCCAAGGAAGGAGAAGAAGAAGAAAAAAAAAAGAAAACAAAAGGAAAAATAAAAAGAAAGAAATATTACAAAATTCAAAATATTATTAAAATATTATTAATAAAAAGAAATTTTGTACGGTTACCAAACACATTTATGTTCTTTTTCTATTCCAAGAATAGAAATTTTGGAAAATTACCAAACGCCTTCAAATGCTTAGAAATTGTTTCCGGAAATGGAATAAAAAAGAATCATTTTTTAGTAGAAATTATTTCCGGGAAAAGAATGGTTACCAAACGCACCTTTAGGATACTGATCATAAAAGCATCAACCATTGATCTTTTGTGTATTTTGCAGACATTAACTTTTCCACGTTTTACTTTACCAAAAAAAAAAAAACTTTTCCACGTTTTAATTAATGCAAGGAATATTAGCAAATTATGCAAATACATCAAGGTTGATCTCTAATTTCTAGTGCATCACATCCTAGTTATCCTTGGGGGCAGTGAGGCCAACTATCCTTTGATAATTAACTGTACGGTCGAGCTTTTTTTTTTTTTTTTTTCGAAAACGAATCTTATTCAATGAAAGAGTTAAACATCAAAACCCACATATTGAGATTCATGATTAAGCAAATGCAAAAGAGTTGCGGTGGGTTGGAAACTCAATTCAATCGTTGGGCCTTGGCAACCCAATCTGCTACAATATTTGCCTTTCTATCGCAATGGGCTAGAGTTAAATTAGAAAATTGGCCCAGAAGCTCACGGGCCTTTGTAATAAGCACTCTGACTTTCCGTAAGCTTTGATCTGCGCTCTTCACCGTCTGAACTAAAGCCACATTGTTTGACTCTGAGTTCATGTCTTTTGGAGAGAGAAAACTTCAAAGCTTTTCCAAAAGCTAGGAAACTAGAATCGTCAAGGAAACTAGCATCGATTTGGTGAATCCATCAATAAGCTTTCCTAGCGCATCTCAGCAAACACAAGAAATTGATCCCGTGGTTGATCCTGCATCATATGAGCCATCGAAATTGATTCGCACCACTCTTCCTGTTGGCAACATGTCAGATCAAGGTGTGACTATTAAGTAAAATTTCTTTGTCCACATAGTTTTAAGTAAAATTTCTTTGTCCCGTCGAATTAAAACGATTCGAATTCAACGGTGGAATTAGATCGGTGCTTTAAGAGGCTCGAACACTCAATGCTTCAATTACTTGGTTGACCCAGCATGGCGTGACATTGTATTTGTATCCAAAATCGCTCATTAATTTCGGTTAAACGCCACGAACGAACCAGGCAATACCAAAGTCCCCGGATTTTTTGCATGCCATTGGCACCAACCATTGAACCAAAATACAGAGAGAAATGACATCTGACCTTTTATGGGTTAATTGTCGCTTTCCCACCAAATTAACCAGGTGTGAGAGAAAACACTGAGCTTTTTAGTACATGAGCTATATTTCCAAAATTCGATTGGACGTACTGATCCCAGAACATTTTGCCGATCACTTGTAAAGATGCTCTGCGGTTATAACTTTGTTTTGATCATATACACAATTGGGTTACTTTGTGTTCGTGTTGTCGGTCTCAAACCCGGACTGCCGTTGAGTGCGCATCGCATACCTTTCACTAACGACAGTCCTAGTTTTACTCAGTAAAGATCGGTCTTTTTCATTCGATATTTTGCCCAGACAGAAATTGATCATCTCAGCGGTGTTTTAGGTAGAGTATGGTTGAAAAAAGCCCGGGCTATTATTGGGTCTACAAGGACACCAGCAAGTGCAACTATACCGATAATGATACGTTAGAGTGCAATTTGTCAAGGCCTACTAATTTAAATCACAATGCCGTAATTACACTTACATGAGAACACTAAAGTTAGCGCATTCAAAGCTCGATAGTCTCCTAAATTGATTGTTTAACAAGTGTATCATGCCATGATCGATAGATTCCTTGGAAATATTTTTTCCCTAAATCATATATAATAATGCGAACGAAAAGAAAAGCTTCGTCCCTTCTAAAATTATCTGATTTTCAGAGTCAAATATTCAAAATTACATTTTATATGGGCACTGCCACTCCATCTTTTCCTTACGAACTCGTCTCTAACTCTAGTACATGTGAAGCAATTTGAACACAATAAATTTTATTCTGGAAATCAAGATTGACCATCCTTTTAAAGCCGAATTTTATATAAAAAAATTGAACTTTAAAACGGATCACACGGACACACAAGCTTAAACTTTTGGGTTTAAAACTTCTGGGTTTAAAATCAACACCCGTTACTCTGTCTGTTGAAGTTGGAATGGAACCACCGTTGAATAGCATACATGGCAGCTGACATGTCACTATAAATCTATTCAGCAGCTGAGCTGGGTATGGTACTTTAAAACGTTAATATACCAAAGAAATCTCTTCTTCTCGTGAGGTGACTGTATTTTGTCTGTAATTATTACCCATCGAGATCAAAAACTCTATTGCATGTGTGCCATTGTCAAATAACTATCTTCTGTGATTAGGATATTGAGGATACTCCGTGAATTACAACATCAAGTCCATGGTGAAGAGCAAGGACTGAAGCAACAAAAGAGAATCTAAAGTAAAGAACAACAATTGAATCAGGAAAGCAAGATAGGTCAGTCGGCATGCAATGTCGGAATAAAAAGTTAGGAACATCTAAGCATAGCTCTCTTGACAAAAGGAGAAGTTCATAGGCGGAAACTCCAGCTAAAAGAGCACGGTTCTGCACATACGCCCTCAAGATGACTCTCAACCCCAAATGTTGCACACAGCGAGATCAAACCAGCTCCCTCGTAACTAATAAATAAATCTAATTCCAGTTAACCGCCCACAACAAATAAATAATCAAATTAAACAGATAGTCCCAAGATTATAATAATGACAGAACCAGGAATTTTGTAAGAAGGAATAAAAGAATCCACACACCTCTAGGTCCTATACTAACGCTAACAGAAACAGAATCAGCTAATTTATCAAATCCCAGATTGAAGACCCTCTCTGCATCCTTTTGCCAAAGGATATCTTCTCGGAACCGGATTTAATCACACAAAGTTTCCAACTTTTTACCCGTTTGACCCAACACACTACTATTTCCACTCAGATTTGAACAGTTTCTTCAATCTCAAACCAAAGAGTATAATTCGTAAAAGGGCATCAAGAAATTGAGCTAAAAGTGAAGAAAAGGAGGAACTTGGACTGAAGGAGGCAGGCATTCTCACTTCTCAGGAGATTCTTCCTGGTTTTTTTTGAGAGGTTGTGTTCCGCCTGCCGCTGCTTATGTCTGTCCAGTAAGGGACGTTTCTCTTAGGCTCTTGTTCTAGCAGTCCTCCTTGTTTGCCAAACTGGCTCCGCTAAGGGAGATCTCTGCCCTTGGGTGCTACTGTCATAACAAAGACAGTAAGATAACCATGGGTCAAGCCCAAGAAAGAAACGAGCATTATCATCCACCCCTGATCACCATACTTTGCTGTGAAATAGAATGTAGGGACAAAAAGGAAACAGGCAATAGTCGCTAACATGAGGCCCTTTCGGGACTCTAACTTGAGCCAACTGATAAGGGGAATGTACTGAGCTATGAAATCCCATACATTGTAAATAGCAATCAAAACTAGCAAGTACCTGAAACGGAAGCGATGAAGCAAGATTGTAGTGAGTACACAAACCTTTGCAGAGGGCGACATTCATTATGAGAAGTGTTAGAGAAATCGGCCTCTTTTACCAGTACTCACCATGATCCCAATTGGTGTGTTTCGATGTTCTCATAGAGAAAGCCCGGGAAGATTGTCAATGTCAAAACATGTGTAAGATATAGACCAATGGCATAATCTATATTTTGAAACAACAATTGTTTGTTGCTCAATCGATCATCTGTAGAGCCTTCATCCTGCCAAAATTTCAAAATTTTCAAGGTTTCAGATACATTAAAAGCAACACAAATTTTACAACTACAACAGAGCAAGTTTCACCGCTATGACGCACCTGTCTTTGAATTCCAACAGCAGCAAGGTCAGCTGACACAGATTTACACCCTTCCAAGGCCGCCTTGGAGCGGCAAAACTTCACAACTGGAATCTTAGCAAACCAAGTAGCATACATAATGATGCATATAAACTCAAAGAACGTGGAGATTGCCAAAAACAACACTGAAAAATAAATTGAAGATTGATGAGAAGAGTTCTGCATGTTGCTTTCACTTGACAAAGCTGATTATTGCACCATGAGTTTCCTCTGTGTAAAGTCAAGGCACAACATAGGAAGGTGGGTTTTACCTACTGAATGATAATTCCTTAAAAAATGAGATAGACCATATATGACATAAAGCCTGAGTCCTTAAGGAGAAAGGACTACATGCTATGAGCACGTGATCACAGATGCTATCAAGTCAAACAAGACTTGCTCGAGTGTTAAAATTCCACAAACAACAAGACCCCTACATGACAGGATGAATTTAGAAATTGATAAAGATTTTCCGATGATGACAAAGAATTACATACTAGCTCCCTTGCGAAGACCATCATGAGTCTTGTCAAAGGCTGCTTTTGTCATCAACCTCAAAGCAGATGTCAGAGCTCCCGATGCAGCTGAACCAGCGAAATACGACTGCATAAATGAAAATTCTCCATAATTTGAGGTAGAAAGACCAAGATCCAAGTTGAAAAGATGCATCTTGAAGGGAATAATTTGCAGAAAGAATGCAATAAAATAGTAGGAGACCGCCCACCTGCATGAATTGAGGACACATGAAAGACAGATCGCCGACCATACCACCCTGAACTTGAGCATTGGCCACTCCAAAACAGGCAACGATCAGACATATACCGAAATAAAGCCCAATTCCTCCTTTCCCTGACGTGGCTAAGTCCAACTATCATGTATGAAATCCAGCAATGGAGTTAATGTAAGATGCCAGAATTCATGGAAAATAACTTGAATTAGATAATTGCAGTAGTAGGATCACCATGAATAGAAAGATTTATGCCTTCAGACAACTTACAACTATGAGAAAGAGTGTACTTAGAGTGAAAAGAGTGTATCCAACTATATTCCTCTTTCTTGTGTCAACTCTGGATTCATGGTACACTAAGATAGCCATCATCCCAATTGCGAATGGTTGATAAACAACTGTAAGCACTCTCGAATGATGATAATACTTCAGCCAACACGAAACATGTGTTAGAATAGCGCAATCAACCAATGAATTCATATTACACTAAGCAAATTACACAACGAAATAATTAGACGAAAAGATATCAAAGGACAAGTAAATAGTTTGCTAGTTCTAAAATAGCACTCGTAAGATAATTATGTTAATTACCCATCCGGACGTCACCCAGCATAGTGATAGTTATATCAACCATATAGCAACAAACTCTTATTGCTACGAGTAACGGATCAAGAAGATGAACCTTGGCCACGATGACAATGGTGAAATCACGGTACAACAAATCAACTTGATCAGCAAAATTCTCTAGACACACCTGTTTTATAGTCAGACTGTGTTGAATAAACAATTATAGAACTACAATTCTCGGAACTCAAACAGAGTCAAGACTCTTCCAAATCAAATCAGACAGCTAAAGAGAACAAAAAGTTCACTAAATATAGATCACAAAACAGAGAAATCAGGGTATTAACTTTAAAAGAACGTGGGAAGTTGGGAATAATCCGCAATTGATTACGGGGAACACTTTATAGTAATAATCTCCAATGGTCAGAATACTGTTCCAAGCCACAAGAGACCCAAGTCCAAGCACCCAACAGAACACCATTGCCTTAAACTTCCCCTGAAAAACAATTTGGTACATTGACTCCAACATGTCATCAAACAGGCGGAGAGCATCGATCAAGATAATACCCATGTACCAGTTTTCCTAATAAAACTGTAAAACAAGACAAACGAGCGCACGGAGACACAGACCTCAAGTCGAACTGGAAGCCCCGTTTCAGCAGCATTGATCATTGTTGCTTCCCTGCAAAACTCACCAAAGAAAACAAACTCAGCCCACAGAAAAGTTACTTTTGAGTCTGGTCAATCAAAAGCTGTATACCTAAGAGACATTGAACGGTGATCACTTGGGGAGCGACGTGCTTACACCGAACAGCAACTTAGACAAAAGGAAGAATCTGTCTCTTTTTTCTGTACGAAGAAGAGCGCGCGGAGAAACTAAAGACGGCTGGGAGGAATTCAAGGAGGATTCTTTGCCTCTTTGAGGTGACGGAATTTGAAGTGCATCGAGATCATCTTCTCTATTTTTGAAAAACCTTATTCAATCAATAGTCTCCAAGAGTGTCTAAAAGTTCACTTCCTTGTGAATAATGTTTAATCTTTTAGGCTTAAAACAAGAATTTGATAATGAAAGCCACAACTCAACCCACCCTCACTTCCCTTCATCTAATCCGCAAAAGGAGGCCATTAGGAATATAATTGTAACGAACTCACCACGTAGACCTAACATGTTATTTCTAATTCAAAAATATGAGTATCTTATCTATTTTGAAATTTCGGACTCGAATTCTGTAAAATTGGGAAGATTAGGTTATAAAAAGCACGAGACATTTTATAGATAAACATCTAACTATCTTATTAACTTTGAATAACGACACTATCAATTAGTTAGGCATAAATCATAAATTTATCTGATGAATGTATATGAGTTTTAGCGAAACCTTTTGAAAGAAAATTCATGATTAAAATCCTCTTTCAACTTTTCTTTTTATACTATAAAGATATCCCTTTTGGAGTTTCCTTCATGTCAATCTCTCAAGTCTCTGGAGATGTGCATATCTTCCTCTGAAGAAGAAAAATCTTCACGAGCATTCGACACTTTGTGTATCGTGTAGGAGAGAGCAATGTGGTGCGCATACCGTTGGAATTGCGCCCAGGTCAATAATCTAGTGTCGAGGATTATCGCCTTTCGTTCTAGTGTCGACATGAACTCGGAACCCGAGACGATACGCACGTCGCTCGATGCTCTCGGTCCGAAGTAACAGCGAGATGGAGAGATTTCGATTGGGCAAAACCGAGAAAGAAAGCAAGCTCCGCCGTGGAAGGAAGGAACCGGAGCGTCACATCTGAAGGCCAAAGGCAGTGATATGGAAGCAATGACGATGACGACGGCAGAAGACTCCAAATGCGTCATTGTCTTAGCGCCGCGGTGATGCCACGTCATTTGGGTGATGTGGCATTGGCCAACAAAACATCGTCACAATCCCACAAAGTGTGCCCCAAAATATGGATAAGGTAATCTTCGACTTCCCAAATAAATTGAATCGAATTTGCGCTTGGTAATGCAAGGTCTGGACCTAATGACTCAAAGCCTCGCAAGCTTAATTCGAGTGGCTATGATGGTTCTCTAACTTTCTTTCGGTCGAAGTGCCTTTTAACTTAGACTATTTATTGAATCGAACCCACTTCTTTGCATGTTAAAAAATACATGATAGCGGGCTGTCTTGAAAACCTTACAGGCCTCTAAAATACTTACTAGTCTAATGAGGATGCGACCCCTTGAAAAGGTCACGATCGATGCCGAGAGAGTTTGGAAAAACGAATGGCATGGTGAATTAAGTTTGTATTCTTATTAGAATGCTACATCTAAATATGATCAAAAGAAAAGCGTCTGAAGTTTTTTTAGACGAAGGTGAGAGAAAATAATAAAGGAAGGCCGGGTCCCCTTTTATTGGGTCTAAGTGACAGCCCAATGGTCTTACCAAATGGGCTAATAGAAAAGAAATGGGCAGATGACCGAATTGGCTGGTTTTATGGGTCTGGGTCCGCCTTTTTATTGAGTAATTTGTTTTTTAGCTAGTCTTTCTTTCTTTCTTTTTTAAGAATAAAAAATTGAATTGTTCACAAAATTTCATGTGTCAAGACTCCTGGGTCTAAATTGGAACAATAAGTTCCTTACGTGTGGATATCGTTGGATATTATTGGGGAAAATTTTCAATATAGCCCCCTCGACTTTTGGTTCTGTGTTAGCCGAGCCCTTATATGTTTTGATTCTTTCGAATATGTGTCATATGTTTTAGGATTTTATCAATTATAAAATTACTAACACTATATGTGCACCACAATGAGACCTTTGGTACGATCTTGCAACTCTTGGGTCTAAATTAGAAAAATAAACTCCTTACGAGTTAATAAAAAGTTCGATATGATTAACGAAATTTTTCAATATAACCCTGAACTTTTGGTTCCGTGTTGGCCGAGCCCTTGCATTTTTTTTATTTTTCGAGTAGGTGTCATATGCTTTAGGAATTTGTTCCAAAACTTCCTATATACTCTTAGACAAGTTTGTAGACAAAGTTTTGTAAATGGCATGCACAAAGCAAGCAATAGGTCTCTGTATCACTTGGCAGGTTCAAAATGTAAGCAAGTCATGATTAATCCCATTTACCAAAAGTTTAGAAACCAGATTTTGTACCCTTCTCACCATATGGACTTCATACTCTCATCTTACATGCTCCCTCATTCCTATTCTTTCCCTAAGCTCTTTTCTATTTTGCCTAGCCTTCTCACATCCCTCGTTATTTGGAAAGTATTCATCGTGAAATAAGCTACTATCAGACTCGCTCTCACTTTAATTCACATGTTTTTAGTTCATGGAGGTCGCTAGAGTAATCTTGAGATGCAAGTTCACTACTTTCCCTCCAGCCCATTTCTCTATTCCTCCTTGTAAACAAATTTGTTATTGCACGTAGATCACAGTAATGGTTAAGGTTACAATGTAATAGCTATTTCGATTGTAACGTAACTAAGCTATAATACCTATTGCGCTGTTTGAAATAGAGAGAGAGAGAGAGAGAACAAATGTTTACTTTTTTTTCCCATGATTGCTTGTTCAAACCAACTACTTCAGCCAAACCAACGTCCTTTCCTTATCATTGTGCTGGAAATTTCATGTGCAATGTTCTTGAATGCTACAAACATGCGTTTTTCTCGGACATATCAGTTCAGTTCTTTTGGAGAAAGCAATAAAGGAAATGTCTCCTCAACCATCTGAAAGCAAACGTCTGTTAACTGTATGTCAAAAAAGGAAACTTCGCTTCAAATGCCTCCGACGTGGGAACAACATGGACGTTAAAATAGAATATCCTCATAATCTTCGACTTCACATCACGCACAGATCACGGCACCGGAAACAAACTGAAGTCGGTTTAAACTGCGAGCCAAATGCCAAGAAGCAATCCGCAATCAAAAGAAAGTATCGGTCTTGTATGATGCCCGGCGTGGAGGATTGAGAATTTTCCCGGAAACTGTCGCGATCTTCTGGGTTCGGACGGCTCCTCCCATCGTAAGCGCCGGAATTTCTGCTGCTTTGAAGTGCATTGCCATTGCCGGTTGCAAGACGAAAGGAAAAGCTCAACGCAAAGAAGACCGACTAAAAACCATCATTTGCTTTGTTTTTGCGTGCTTGAAAGTGGTCCCCCCAACATCACTATGACCATTTTGTTGAATCATTTAAAAAGCTGATTTCGAATAATTTACTGTATAGGTATATATGAGAGTATCATACTTTATGAAGATCTAAGATCAATATGCGACAAAGAAAAACGTTATAATGTTAAGTTTTCACTGCGCATAAGATATAAATACAAATGATTTTTCAGCATACAATTATGAAAGCCAAGTTTGGAATATGTCAGTAAAAGTGAAAAATTAAATTTAAATAGAATATAAATAATCTCGCTTTAGCCAAATCGCAGTGTAATATCTTTTTTATTTAAAAATTTAATTGCAAGTTTGAAATAAATATTAGCATTGTTGTAATATTTAAAGTAAAGGGAGCTATTTATTCCGTTTAATACCCTTATAATAATTTAATAATCTTGTTAAAGATTAGCAATAGTTTAATATTGGTATTGTTGTAAAAATTTAAAATTTTGTTCAAATTGTTTTATTTATTTCTCAATCTAAGTAAATTACGTTATTCGGTGTAATTTTTCTATTGGACTAAATCAAACTACTTGAAGAAAATCAATTACGCTTTAGTTAGCATTAATATGTTTATCAATAACATATATACCTAGAGTGGGATTTAAATGCTGTCAGTTTTTTTTTTTAGCTTTTTTTTAACTGATTTGACTATGAGATATTAATTAAGAGAGATAGATGTAAAGAAATAGATTATATTCAATTCTAAGCTAAACGAATTTTTTTAATTAAATTAGTAAAGGTAAAGACATAGGCTATATTCGAAATCTTTAAGGTATTAATGGAATTGGTCAAAAAAAATAAAAGACATCAAGTAAAATGTAAAGGTATCTTTATCAATTTATCCAAGTTTAAACTCAAATATTTGAATTGTAGATAAAAGAAAATATAAAAGTTGTGTTACTAAAATTAAAACTTTGTCTTCATCCATTTTTTCAACATACCAAATTAATTGAATTCATTTATTCACTAAATCTAATTGTTAGTGCATGAACTTCTCTCGGTAATCACCCAATGCGTGTTGCGGACACTTGGGGCGATCACTTTTAGGGTTGGTAGGTTCCAAATCAAGAACTTGGATTCTACCATGTTAGTGGAACCTAATCGAATCGGTTCCTAAGGGAACCGATCCGAAACCAAACCAGTCTGTTCTAGAGTCAATTCGAAAATCAAACCTTAGCTTAGAAAAACATATCGTGTAAACAATTTGTGGTATAATGATTAAGGCATTGATGTATTTCCTAGAATTTCCGAGTGGTTAGGAAAATCGACTCAAAATCAGCTCACGACATAAAATTGAGAATTAAAACGGTCAAAGCCGGTTCCCCAATTTTTTACCTAGTAACCCACCTGGTCCTTGTCTTAACTGGCTAGAACTGGTCGGATAACGCTGGTTTGGTTCAGTTTGGATTAGTCTTGGATTGAACTGGCCAATTGCTCACCCCTATAGACACAAGTCTGAAGTTAAGCCAAAGCATCATTTGTTTCACTTTTGTGTTTCTCATCTAGCCCTTATGTATGTATTACTCTGGTTGTTCAACGAAGAGAAAACAAGGTTAAATTGGCCAGAGTAAAAAGACAAAAAGGTAAAAGAAAGAGATTAACCACCCACTTTCTGTTAAGAAACCGCACCTAATAAAATTCTTTCGTTGTCATTGTAGTGCAATAACCAACTTCGTCTTTCTACTCCTTGTCAAGAAGTTC